AGAATAACAGACTTCGGAGAGCTGGCTGGCTTTTATGTAAATAAAAGCAAAACTAAAATGTTGTGCAAAAATATGATAAAAACCAAACAAGCAGACTTACAAGAACTGGTACAGTGTGAGGTAGTGAAAAAGACTAAGTATCTTGGTATAGACCTGACTATGAAAAAATAATAAAAAACTACTAGCCTTGGAAGGGCATGATTGCAGATTTGGTTGGCATGCGTACCTATGGTACGAAAAAACTAAAATGGACAAATTTTTTAAACATCATTTTGTAAGAAGATCTCTCTTTGGAGTATGGACGAGATATAAAAGGTTTTTTCATGAAGCGAGACCACTTTGGATTGTACCAGCAGAAGTTATTACACAGTATACGAGACAAAGAGGTGAAGAATTATTGCCATACAGAGACTTGATTAAAAAGGAAGGGACAGAATGGGTATTGAAAGAACAGGATGAGATTCAATTTAAATATGTATGGTTGGGTTATTTACAGATCAGAGATCTGTTCAGAGCAGATAAAAAAATGTATGGTTTTAGAGCAGAGAAAAATGAAATTGAATCTGTGTGGGAGAATAGAGGGAGAAAAACGATTTCTAACATGTATAAAATCCAGTTAAAATGGTATACAGAAGATGAGACGGTTAAAGAACAAATGCTTAAATGGGCTCTTAATATGAATAAGGAGGTAACCATGACATATTGGGAATATTTGTGGAAAAATGCTATAAAAATATCAACATGTACCAATATCAAAGAAAACTGTTATAAAATGATGTATAGATGGTATATGACACCGAAAAAGATAGCAAATATGAACCAAAATATGTCAAACAAGTGTTGGAAATGTAAAAAACATGAGGGCTCATTTTATCATATGTGGTGGACATGTGAAAAAGCGATAGGACGTGTGAAAAAGCGATAGATTTCTGGTCAAAAATTCATTGTGAAATGCAGAAAATGTTTAAGTGTAGTTTTAAAAAAGAACCAGAGATTTTATAGCTAGGATTGAAAATGGAAGAGTTAAATATACAAAAAAACCCCTGTGTTCTGGTACCTGATAACAACGGCGAGAATGGTGTATGCACAATGCTGGAAACAAGAGAAAAGATCTCAAATTGGATACAAAAAGTGTTATTTATGGCGGAAATGGACAAAATAACAAGAAAGTTGAGTAACAAAGAAGATCAAGAATTTTTTGAAGACTGGAAATACTTTAAAGACTATCTAGAGGAAAACTGGGACGTTAAACACAATTTATTGTATTTAGAACATTATTGATAGAAATGTTATCTTGTAATAGAATTTAAAATGTTTAAGCAAATATAAGTAATGTAAAGGGAAAAAGGGTCGAGCACTGCGGGAAGCCACTAGCAAGGGAGGGGGGAAAGGGAAATATGGGTATTGGATAAGTGAAAGCCAATGTTAAATGTGATATTATATCCAAAAAATAAAAGTTTTGTACGAAAAAAAAAAATGTGCAAATGGTATTTTCTCAATTAATTTTGTGAAAATGTTCTGTTGTTAGAACAGGCAATGTGAATTTTCAAAGATCCTTCCAATATTGGTATTACTTTTCCTTGCATTAGTCTCACAGATGCCATTTTTCCACCACACCACTGGAGAACTTTGATAGGTTTTTAATGTACTTGCTACTGCAATTATTGATTAAGAAAAGAGCCCTCAAAAAGTCCTGTGGTGGTGCAGAAAACTCCTAAGCAGATACTGTATTGCCAATGCAAATCCTCTGCAATTTCAGCAGCAAAGAATGAAAAACAGAGTACTTGCTGTATGGTTGTAGCCTGAACTTCCCATTAACCTCAAAGATGGTTGACTATCTTTTTGTAGGGCTGCCCTGCCATCGAAGTTATTTGGAAAGCATTGACCCCAAGACCACAATGAAAATCCCACTTGCAAAAGAAGCCCTAGTATCAGCCCTGAATGTGTTTCTACTGAGACCTCTCTGTCCACAGTTACACTTCCCATTGCGATGTGACATCCCACTGCTGCCCTGACTCTCAAGCACTGTTTTTCTGCTTTTCTTTTCTAAAAGAGGCGTAGAAATGTTTAGAAAATGTTTATGATGATTTTTACACATGAGAGACTTCTATAGCTACAACTGACAGCTGCAGCTGCTTTACATCTTTATAGAACTGGGACCTTGATATATGTATTGGACAAGTTTTCCTTTACTGGTCGTGGTTGCTATCCAATCAAGATGGATTAAAAGTTTTGTTATAAGACCCTGATTCTAAACCAAAAGTCTTAATTAGGACAGCTACAGAATTTACTGTGTGATTACTGTAAACAAAAACAGTACGTGGGAAAGACAGGGAACAGGTTGACAGTTTCCACAATATTTAAACAACATCCAGAGAGAAATTTAAATTCACAAGACGAAAGGAATGGTTTTAATACTACAAAACCCTTATGAAACACAAAACTAATTAAGAGGAGTGTCAGAGTTAGTAGATTTTATACAATTTCATTTCTTTGAGGAAAAGCAGGGCAGGTATCTGTTGGAAAAATGCTTTATGACATTCAAGCATTTATTCTACAACAGGGACTTTAATCAACATATGTGATTGTCTTTGTGGCCCCAATGCTATACAGAGTCAAGGGTACTGATACTGGATTATGGTTTTCGCGTGTGTTGTTACTTGAAGGGATGACTCTTTGGACTGCTTTCTTCTCTATTAAGACTGGTATTTTCTGATATGCTGTTTTAATACTGGCATTCTATAAATTGGTGCCACTATGTAGCTCTCTGCACAGTTCCATTTAACACAGTGGCCCATCTTCTCAATTTTTGTGTACAAATTCTTTCCACCCCTGCCAACTGTCCTTAACAATGATTAAAGTTTATATCAGTACCAGTTTTAACCATGGAAAAGCTGATCAGCAAGTGATGCTTAAGATGCAACCCTGCTTGGCAAAAGCCAGGCCTAAAGAAACCAGAAACAATGTAGGGGGAATTTCATATGCCATCAAAAAATGGTTGGGTGGGATTAGTAATCACATAGCCCATTTCTAGGGTTGCCAAATGGCACTTACCCTTGTGGTGGGGGACTCCAGCCCGGCTCCCGGCGTGTGCGCGCTTCACATGCACGTCACAGGAAAGTGACGTCACAATGCTGGGCCCGCTGGGGCGGGGCCACAGCCATTTGAGGGGAAAACATAGAGTTTCCCCCTCAAATGGCTGTGGCCCCGCCCCCAGCGTGCCCAGCGTCATGACGTCACTTCCCTGTGACGTGCACGCGGGGGTGGGGTTTTCCCCGGGGCCCGATTCCGCCGCGGAGGAAATCGGGCCTCCAAAGCGAGGGTTTCCCCGCCCCCCGGCCCGATTTGGCAGCCCTACCCATTTCTTATCATTTAAGTGAGGATAATAACGTGTGTTACATTTACATTTCCCTTAGCAGCAAATCACAAACATTAATGTACAGGAGAAAGAGGTAGCCTTCAAAAACGTCCGGTCCTTCATTAATTCCTCTGATAAAATGAGTCTCTTTAGATCTGCAGGAAAAGACTTTCTTTTACACTGACAAGCAACTACAAGACTAAGTCAGAACATTATCATGAGAGAAAACCTTCAATGAAAAAGGGCTATTTCCAAGTTTCCAGGAGTCATTTTCAATCACATAATTTTGAATAAATATGATCAAACACCCATATATTTGTACCCTATTTACTGGGGAATGCTTACAGCTTAAATAAAAACAATGTCCACAGAAATATTATCATCCACTTTTGCTTTTAAGAATCCATTAATGATTTCACTATAAAAATAGAACTGGGGGAAAATACCTAGTTCACATCAGACACAAGCATACTCTGAAATAAACTAAAAAACCCCAAAGCTTATTAGAGATTTGCTTGAAAAAACAAAGATTGTTTGCAAAACATGGCTACTTGTAAACAGGCAACAGTGTGCATATGTGAATTCATGCACAGATGCAACATCTACATATATTTTATGTGTGACACAGCCACAGTTTTACACATAAAGTCCTATTGATTTCAAATGGGAAAGAGAGAAACATCTGTTTAAGTCCCACCAAAACCAGTGAGATATAAAAAGAATTTCATTTGGTAGGACCATTTCTCAACACTGCAAAATTTCCAAATGTGTATACACATTTATGTAAACATCTAATGTGAGGCATTCTTTAGATGAATACACATGTGTGTGTGTGCATGCACTTGAACACACATACACACACACACACCCATTTTCACTGAGCTCAGTCTGAAAAGTCATATGCTTATTAGGATATATCTGGATAATTATTCACAGAACTTGCATGAATACTGCAAAACACGCTTTTACTCAGGATATTAGTTTTACTATGCAGAGGGTCAGATAATGCATGGTAATAAGAACATTCCAGTTTTAAAACTGGTAATGATTTAATTTTCTTGACAAGAACTTAAGATACCTGATCTAGAATTATGACCCAAAAATGACTTTTTGGGGAAAGGGGCACCTTGACTATATTTAATAAGATTCTGTCAAGCAACTGGGCAAATCTTTTATTTAGAAAAACACTACATTATCTGTTATGTGTAGTGTGTGGGCTATGCACTAGCTTAAATACTTTTACATGGAGACAGTAAATATGTGCAGGAACAGTATTTCATTATATAAACATAGAGTTTCTTTCTTAAGCATTTACATCCGAAATGGATATTATGGTGCACAAAGGTATTACAAAAATGGGGTAGAAATGGGGACACAAGAATCACTCAATTTTTAAAACTGGGATGTCATGTTTAAGTAAATCATTTGTCATGGAAAAAATATACTTTGCCTTCTATTCAGTACTAAGAATACTAGCACTAGCAAATGAGATATATCTTAAGCAATATTAGCACTGCAAGAAATGAACAAAAGCAGAGTCACTTTTTCATGCAAACCATGCAGAGAGGAAGAGGGGGAAGAGAAGCAGAAGCACCAGAGGGATAGAGGCATTTGTTAACAGAGATTCTCTAAGCATACTAACCTGCTGGTTCTAATGAATTTTCTACTTTGTCGTTAACATCGAAAACACGATCATGAACACCTATAGTTTTCATACAGTTGTCTATAACAAAAATAGAGATAACAGCCAAATATGTTAGTTAGACACCCTCAAATTCCCCATTTTCCTTTTTTGTTTTGTTTTGTTTTTTGTTCTATCTGGATTATAATACAATTATATGTATATATTATATCTTAGCCTGTGGCACTTTTGCAAATGCCAGAAAAATTGTCTTTTGGTACAACTGTCTAAGAAACAACAAGTTAGCAACTGCTATGTACTTAAAACAAATGAGAAAAAAGCTTTGTGAAAAATGATTAAAAAGATATGGTGGGAAAAATGCCGCTATAAAGAACAGATACCACACAAGTTTTAAGAATAAAAAGAAGTTTTTACTGCTGTTTATTGGACCAAATGAAGCATGCACTATAAAAGCTACCTCTAAAGCTAGATCTAAATAACTTACTTGCAGGTCGTACAAAGACTTTCAGTTTTAGACAGGACCTTCTCCCATTATCAGGTATTGCAGATGCTGTCAGAAAGAGAGGGAAAAAGTATATTAATGTTTGGTTCTTCAGGCATAATATTTTTCTTTCTCTAAAGTAATGCACAGTGTAAACAAAGGAAAAAGGAATTAAAGCAGGAATATTCTGAACAACATGTAAATGTCAAGATAACACTATCTTTTTAAAAGAAATAAAATGTGGGAACACTAGTGCAACAACTGTTAACAACTGGTATGTGTGAGTCACAAAATTGACCTAAATCTAGAGTGGCCAGGTCCGACTTGGGAAATACCTGGAGACTTTCGGGATGGTGCTTAGCAAGGATGTGACCTCACTTTTGTGATGTCATATCCTGTGATGTCACTTCCAGTTCAAAGGTCAAGTGAAGTCACTTCCCAAGCTGCATCCTCATCCAATGATGTCAATTCCAAAGAACTGCACCAAACCCCACCTCTTCTTGTGATGTCACTTTCAAGGCACTCCCTTAAACCCACCTCTTTCTCTTAAGTCAATTCCTTCTTTCAAAATTCAGATTTAAATACACTGCTTTATATCAGTTCCCACCCCCATCTTTTCCCTACTTTACATTACTTGTAGGCTTTTAGGCCTCCTTCCAGTGAAAAAATAACAAAAAGCTTTAAGATGTTAAATATTTAACACTCAGAACAAAAAAACAAGCAAACAGCACATGACAAACCAGTGAACAAAACAAGAGAAACTGTCATGGTTATATGGCTTTCTGGATGGAAAGCGATATTTATCATGGCTTCTTGCTGCTTTCAGCAACTCGAGTCTTGACTTTATAAACTTGCAGACTTCTTCACACTGCTTCCTGAAATTCAGTTTCACCTGGAGTTCTGCTTTGACAAGGCTATCACTCAGCCGGTTTCTTTCCTTGCTCCAGAGCTGCGTCATTAAGCTGAAGACTGTCTCACAGTAGGCACTGGATACAGGGATAGACAGTGCAAAAGAGACCAACTTCAACAGGTGGCTGTCACCACTGTCTGGAATGCACCTGGACATCTTTACCCATCTCTGGTCTATCTTCTCTTCCTGTGCGGAAATCTCTTTTTGGCATTTTGACACAATGCAGAAATCACTAAACAGCTTGTCAGTGTTTATTATATCAGGGCCAAAATTAAGGGCTTTGACAAGACTCTCTAATGGATCCCACATCACAGGACTGTCAAGCAAGAACAGTGCCATGTCTTTGAAAATTGACTTATCAAAATTATACAATTTCTTAAGGTAGTCAATGCACTTTCAGACTGTCTGGTCTGCTTCTGTTTGGAATTTTGCCCTTTGAGATGCAGAGATATTGACCAGAATGGCTGTAACAGATCTTCGATAGAACCGTCTCTGTCTCCTCTTGTTATGTTTTTCATGAAGGTCATCCAGGATTTTATGGGGTTCCGTGTACCTAACGTTGGTACTTCCCAGTTTTTTCACAATGGGATTGAACAATGCTATCAAATTGTGTAGGAAATACATATAACATAGAAAAAGGGATGACTCCTCTTCTGGACCGAATCCTTCCCACACATTTTTTTCATTCAACAGCAGGCATAAGTGACAACAACTGTGTTGGACCATGCCAAATCAGATGTCTATACTCTATAGCTACAAACTCAAAGAAGGACCTCATGGAGTCTGCACTTTTGGCTGAGCATGAGGACTCACTATATATTTGTGTGACAAAGACTTCTACATTAAAACTCAGTGCTCTCTTCCCCATTTTAAGGCAATTGTGAAGTACATGGCATTTGCAGCCCACATCTATCTGTGGCTTGTTAAGCTGTTTAAGTTTTTGAAACACTGGCTTGTGTTTCCCAAAATTCACTGCATTGTCTGCAACATAAGATGATACTCTGTCCAAACTGAGATCATTATCCTGTAGCACACTACAAAGCTGTGCTACAATTGCTTCACTGGTCTCATTATAGAAGTCAAGCAATCCTTCCTTAATTCCCTTCATTACAGCAAAGGAACGAACAGTCACAGGAAAGAATTTCCTATTTCCCTTGTTGGAGGTGTCACATCTTATTGAGAAAAAGTGTGCGGCATCTAAGTCCTCCAGCAACAATTCAATGGATTTGGTACCAAAACGTTCTCCACAATGCTGGTGGCTTTTGTACGACCACAAAACATCTTTTTTGCTATGCCAGAATCAGGCAACATTCTCGGCAGCAGTTTATTTGTGCAGTTTTGACTTGCATAACTATGATGGTGCATAACACTGTGGTACACTTCTACCACTTTAGCTGCAGTAACCTGATTGGCTTGTGACGAATCTGGTTTGTCGAAGAAGGTGGTGTCTGTCTACATTGTTTCTCCACCTCTTTGCACTTCATACCTTTCACATGATATATTAGGGCATCGTTCCCCTCATAACACACAGATATCCTGTGGTGGCATCAAATGCATTCTGCTATTTTAAAGTCTTTTTTTACGGCCAGATTTTGAATTGGCTTTTGCTCAGCCATTCATCTTTAAAAACTGCAAGGTATTTTTTCTTTTTTTGCTTCACCACCTGAAGGACCTTCTCCGCTGTCTGATGGATCGTCTCCACTTACCATGACTTCTCAAGCTTTTGATGGGAACCAACCCTGAGTACCACTGCAGGGAAACCCCACCCCCAACAATCACAGTCTCTTGTTAATTATAGGTGGAGCTCACAAATACACTCATCAGTTTGGCAGCTATCACACAAATACAGATAATGTTATTTATTTACTTCAAGCATATTTTACATTTCTCTCCGATGGGGACTCAAAGAGGCTTACATAATTTTCTTCTCCATTCTATCCTCACAATAACCACCCTGAGAGGTGGGTTAGGTTGAATGAGTATGAGTGACCTAAGGTTGCCTAGCAGCTTTCCATGGTGCAGTAGTGATTCTAAACTGGGTCTCCCAGATGCTACTCTGGTACTCTAACATCTTAATATTTTTCACATCTTAATATTTTCAAGTCCCTGCCATGAATCACAAATGGACCTTACCCATAGTCACAGGCTGCTTTAGCATGGAATCTTGCTAGGTAATCTTTACACTATTTCCCAGAGGGAAGCTTGCTAGGTAATCTTTACACTATTTCCCAGAGGGGTTTTTTTTTGGTGCGGATACTTATTTCTGCCAACAGAGGGCTACCTCTCCCCCAACAGCTCTTTCTACAGTCTCAAGGGCCTTCCTCAGTCTGCAGAAAAATCCAAAAAGTGAAAAAAAAATCCTCAGGGAAGGTTGAATCCCCCCCCAAACCTTTTGAAATGGCTTCTGCAGGGATCTAACTACAGGCATCAATGGTGAGAGAACATGGGGGGGGGAGGCTTCTAACTGGCTCTGTCAGTAAAAGGGTGGAGGAAGGGCACTTTTCAGGCCTCTTTTGGTCTTGGAGGAAGGGAGAGAGCCTTGGGGCCAGACCTGTCAAGGGTTGCCAGTGCCAGGTTGGGGAATTCATAGAGGTTGTATGGTAGACTCTCAGGATTTGGGGAAGGGAGAGGCCTCGGCTGGGTATAATGCCACAGAGTCCACCCTCCAAAGCAGCCAGTTTCTTTAGGGAGACAGATCTCTGCTGTCTAGAGTTCAGGGCCCTACAGGACCTTTTACAGTTCTGCAGGGCCTGCAAAATGGAGCTCTCCTGCCAGGCTTTTGGAGCCACCACCACCGCTGCCATTACAACTGCAACTATTGGGGGTGCTATTAGTAACAACTGACTGCTATGGTGGAAGCCCTGAGCCACAGGTTCCTGTGACTACTGCCTGCCCCCCCCCACAACTGGAATGGGTGGGATAGAAATCAATAAAATTAATCAATAAATAAAATATAGAGTTCACTCTCCAGGCCCCACATGGGGGTTGCCAACCCTAGGCCTGGCAGCAGTCTAGGGTTGACAGCCCCCCGGGCACTGGCAGGGGATTTGGGGGGGTTTGTCAGATCCAGGCTGGGAAACTCCTGGAGATTTGGGGGTGGACCCTGGGGGAGGACAGGGACCTCAGTGGGGTACAATGCCCTAGAGTCCACCCTCCAAAGCATCCATTTTCTCCAGGGGAGGTTATCTCAGTAGTCTGGAGCTGAGCAGGAATTACAGGGGATCCCCAGAACCCACCTGAAGGCTGGCATCCCTAGGTAGCACCCTCTGGGTGACTTGATGCCACCTGATTTGCATGACTGAACTAGGCCTGGCTGCTTGCTACTGTTCATCAGCAGCCACCCTATGAAAGCCAGTGTGATGTAACAGTTAGAGCTTCAGAGTAGGGTCTGCGAGACCCAGGTTCAGATCCCCATCTTGCAGTGGAAGCTGACTGGGTGATTTTGGACCAGTCACATACTTTCAGCCTACCCAACCTCACAGGGTTGCTGTGCAGATAAAAAGGAGGTGAGAATAATGTAAGCTGCTTTGGTCTCCACTGTGGAGAAAGACTATAATTTTCCAAGGTGGGGGAGGGGGGTGGAGACAGAAAGCTGAAGACAGATAAAGGCAGCTAAAGGTAGGTTGGCTGTTGAGTGGGAAGGAAATAGGGTTGCCAACTCCAGGTTCCTGAACATTTAAGGGGTGGAGCCTGGGGAGGGTGGGGTTTGAAGAGGGGAGGAACTTTAGACTGGTATAATGCCATAGACTCCACCCTCCAAACCAGCCATTTCCTCCATGAGAAACTACCTTTGCCAGCCCCCAGGTGAGGGCTGGAGATCACCCAGAATTACAACTGTTGTCCAGGTGAAAGAGATCAGTTCCCCTGAATAAAAGGGCTGCTTTGGAGGGTTGAATCTATGGCATTATACCCTACTGAGGCTGCTTGCCTCCCCAAGACTCACTGTTCCAAGGCTCCACCTCCAGATTTCCAAAAATTACCCAACCTGGAGCCAGCAGCCCTAAGGTGAATTGATCTCTGTAGCTGGGGGATCCGTTATGATTCCAAGAGTGCTTACAGTGCTGCTATGAGGAGAGGGGAAGCAGGTGGGTGGCTGGGAGTACCACCACTACTGCTGTTGCAGCTGTGTGAGGGGTGGGGGAGGAAACAGGCAGGAGGC